TCGCCTCCTGGGTTCAAGCGATTCTCCTGCCTCAGCCTCCCTAGTAGCTGGGATTACAGGCACCCGCCACTGTGCCCAGCTAGTTTTTGTATTTTCAGTAGAGACGGGGTTTCACCCTATTGGCCCAACTGGTCTTAAACTCCTGGCATCAAGTGATCCACCGGCCTTGGCCTCCCAAAATGCTGGAATTGCAGACGTGAGCCACTGTGCCCGACCCAAATCAATTTATTTTATTTTATTTATTTGTTTATTTATTTTTGGAGACGGAGTCTCACTCTGTCACCCATACTGGAATGCAGTGGTGCGGTCTCAGCTCACTGCAGCCTCCGCCTCCCGTGTTCAAGCAATTCTCCTGCCTCAGCCTCCAGAGTAGCTGGGATTACAGGCACATGCCGCCACACCCGGCTAATTTTTTTGTATTTTTAGTAGAGACAGGGTTTCACAATGTTGCCTAGGCTGGTCTCGAACACCTGACCTCGTGATCTGCCCATCTCGGCCTCCCAAAGTGCCAAATCAATTCTTGAACAGTCTTAGGACCCCAGTGTCAGAAATCCTACGTGTAATCCCACATTGAGGGATTGGCATTCCCGTTGACATGAGGGTCCTAAGACAGAATTGATTGGCATCCCCATTGCTCCTATAGAGAGGATTTCTGTCCATAGAGACCCTGTCTCTAAGGAAAAAAAAAAAAGATATGAAGCAATTAGCCAGGTTTAGTGACAGTACTTGGGAGGGTGAAACAGGAGGATCACTTGAGCCCAGGAATCAGAGGCCAGCCTGGGCAACATACCAAAACCCTGTCTCTAACAACAACAGAAGATATGGGATAATTCATTAACAGCAATAGGTAATCAGAACAACCTATAACCTGTGACAATACTATGAGCATTTTAAACTCCCCGTGAATTATCTGCAACGTATGTTGATAAATGAGTTGTGGAATTAAATAATTCAAACTTAAAGCTATTGGAACTTTATTGTTGATATTATTATTTTTTAGAGGCAGGGTCTGGCTCTGTTGCCCAGGCTGGTGTGCAGTGATGCAATCATAGCTCACTGCAGCCTCAAACTACTGGGCTGAAGCAATCCTCCAGCCTCAACATCCCTGGTACTAGGACTACAGGCACCAGCCACCCCGCCCAGCTGCTGCTGGAATTTTAAATGATCCTGAAACTTGAGAGGAATGTGGTTATGCAGCATGAATCACATGGCGAGCAGCTGCAGCTTCTGCCCCTTTTCCCCTAGAAATAACTAAGACCAAACAGGCCAGAGATAAGACCTCCTCAGACGGGTACCCCCCTCACAGAGTAATAAAGCAATCTTCCTTGGAATGTAGCATCCTATAGCTAGTCAAGTCACTGTAAGGATTGTATGTCTGCCTATATAAGTGAAACCTTAACCTCTCCACTTTGGAATGCTTTTTTGTGTGTGTATTTTTGCTTTCTTTTTTGAGACAACATATCATTTTGACACCCAGGCTGGAGTGCAGTGGTAGGATCATGGCTCACTGCAACCTTCCTCTCACCTCAGCCTCCTGAGTAGCTGGGACTACTAGTTGACAACGCTCAACTAATTATTTCATTTTTTGTAGAGGCCAGGTCTCACTATGTTGCTAAGGCTGGTCTGAAACTCCTGGGCTCAAGCGATCCTCCCACCTCAGCCTCCCACAGTGTTGGGATTATAGGTATGAGCCTTCGTGCCTGGCCTCCACTTTGGAATGTTGACCCTATACATTTGGAGTCGGTGTTTCTGGGTGGCTATCCTCCAGCTTTGGAATATTTGAGGATAAATAAACCTAGTAAACTATACTTAATCAGGGTGGGTGCAGTGGCTCACACCTGTAATCCCAGCACTTTGGGAGGCCAAGGCAAGTGGATCACCTGAGATCAGGAGTTTGAGACCAGCCTGGCCAACATGGTGAGACCCTGTCTCTACTAAAAGTACAAAAATTAGCCAGGTGTGGTGCCGCACGCCTGTAGTCCCAGCTACTTGGGAGGCTGAGGCATGAGGATTGCTTGAACTCAGGAGGCTCAGGTTACAATGAACTGAGATCGTGCCACTGCATTCCAGCCTGGGCGACAGAGCGAGACTCCGTCTCAAAAAAAAAAAAAACCCAGCCTGGGCGACATCTGTCTCACTCTGTCGCCCAGGCTGGAGTGCAGTGGCCGGACCTCAGCTCACTGCAAGCTCCGCCTCCCGGGTT